GCAGAAACAAATGTGGCATGTGGTGTTGTGGCCGGCAACACATTCCGTGGAACTCAAGTTGAAGTCCCTATGCAGCCTGCTCAAGGTCGTTGCCACTCCTCTCTTATGCTTAGCATGAGGCCTAAACAAGTTGCTACGTATTGAAGCATAGACAATAGACAAGGTGAAATTTTACAGAGCAGAGAGTGCAGTAAGCGAGGAGATGCTGTTGGGAATGGAGCCCGTTATAAAGTTGTACGAGAGATCCCTGTGTTTGTTGGTAGGTAGGTCGGTAGAAATGAAGAGATGAGACTCGCGGGCATGGCAAGAGGGACAGCAAGCACACACAAGCGACCCAGAGGAGTGATAGGATAAGGATGGTTGGGAAGCATTTTGCGGGGCACATAGGAGAATGAGGTGGGGAGGGATTGGGGGAAATCAATACAAATTTTTCTGCGGGCGGTGAGCATTGACCCATATCATCGGGAGAAATATTCATATGTCAATATATCACCTCAGTTTTCCAGACAGCAGCCTTCAATACAAGCATTACGAGTCCACAAAAACAGCCTAGTAACGTGGCTTGGCTTACAACATTCCTAGTGCATTGAGGTTTGACAGTCCAGCTGGAATAGGTCCAGTAAGCTTATTGTAAGACAGATCCCTGGTGGCGGAGGAAGGAAGGATGAGACAACCCACAATATAGCTTTGCGGATCTTATGAAGAAAGAGTTGTGCTTCTGCAGGCTGTTGCGTTACTCATTTAACTGCTAGGCTCGCATTTAGCTGCTTAGGTGAAGGTACCATATAGTACTCAGATGCCAAGCAGACAAGCATGCTTTCCAACAAGGCAGGAAGAGTTCTAGAGACACAATGAGCATGCACATCTCTGTTATTGGCAAGTTCATCCGATGAGCATACGTGATGCAAAAATCTTGGCGGATCATACAGTGAGAGCTTCTTACAGATAAAATAGGTTAGTAGAAAGCATGGTGATGGTGGTGTCTGAGATTGAGCCGCTCAAGGCATTGCCTAGGAGAACACTGTGTGAGAATAGTGGGGATGGCCGGAGGGAGGGACAGTAAGCATACGCACACAAGTGACCCACGCGGGTGAGGAGGCGAGCATGGTGGGATGCACTGTTCGGCGCTCAAGGGAGTCCTTACACACAAGTTACACAACCATTTTTTTGAACGCAAGTTGAAGTCCATATGCAGCCAGTTCAAGGTGCTTAACATTCCTCTCATGCCTAGCACGATGTCTACATAAGTTGCTTTGTTTCGAGGCGTTGACAATAGACAAGGTGCTTCGTACAGACATTTGAGTCGACAAAAAAACGCAAGTTGAAGTCCATATGCAGCCAGTTCAAGGTGCTTACCATTCCTCTCATGCCTAGCAGCATGAGGCTTGAGAGGAATGGTAAGCACCTTGAACTAGTTGCAGCCAATAGACTGCAATAGTTGCTTTGTTTCGAGGCGTTGACAAAAGACAAGGCGCTTCTTCGTACAGAGCAGAGAGTCTAGTAAGCGAGGAGATGCTGTTGGGAATAAAGCCCGACAAAAAGTTGTACGAGAAATCCCTGTGTGTGTGGGCATGGCCAGAGGGACAGCAAGCACACACAAGTGATACTGATGAGATAGAGCTGATTCGGTAGCAGGTGGAAAGGGGACAGAGAACACTAAAGATACAAGGATGATGGGCAAGTGCGAGAGCAATGACACATGACATAATTAACGTGATTACGATCAAGGCACATGGCCACATGCTACACTGCACTGCAACACCTTTCAGGTGCATACTACACTGCACTGCAACACCTTTCACTACTACACTGCACTGCATCACCCTAACTCAGCTTACAGGTTCTCCAATAACGCGAGGTTTCCAATCCCAGCTGGGATAGGCCCATTGAGGCCACAGTAAAGCATAGATCTGGTCATGCAAGTGGTCATGAAATGCACGCTCTTGTATGGAACAGTAAGCGCAGTGATATAACGTTGTAAGCAAATGGAAGATAATGTGTGGGTGGAGCGAAATGCTTGCTAACGAGTACAAACGCATACCTCCACCTTGTAGCGCTGCAAGAGTGTGGGAGGCGAAACATGGTGCAACCAATGAGGCGTGCCGCCATCGCATTGCCACTGCATTTGCTGCATTTCCGGCAGTTATCATTTACAAACGTGCTGTTTACCTCAACTACCAAGCCTCCTATGCCGCGACTTTTTAGATAAGCATGAACAAATGTGCATGAAAAGAAGCAAGCTAGTCGTTTCATGCGAGATTCTTACAGATTCGTAAGAGAAGTGAGCAAGGAGATAGTATCAGGCATAGGCCCTCCAAGAGGTGCATCGTCCAAAAATCTATGTGGGTGGGTGGGTGGATAAAAAAGAGAGAGAAGAAAACTGGGCGGGGACACAAGTGACGCGAGGACTGGAAACAACTTGTTTAACACAATTAACTTACTAATCAGACATTTATGCAACCTTATTATTGTTTCAACAATAAACATATGACAAACAAACCATTGAAACATCGCTAAACCATTACTAAAACATCAGCAAATAATTTGGTTTGACAAAAATGCTATACAAATGATATGTAGATGATTCCTGGATGATTGTCAAACGTTTTTTAAACACTTGCTTTAAAAAAAAAAAGGTCAAATGTTTTCCGGACGCACACATTTTTGTGATGAAGTGGTATAAAACATAGCAATCCTGTTGGATATCAGTGGCATGGTATGAATTCCAAAGAAAAGCAGACACACACTCACATTTCGGTGATCATGCCTGAATCGTCGCACTTGAGTCCTGTAGCATCGACACAGTCAGCACCAACGACCCAGTTTACTAGGAACGTCGAATCCCATGCCTTTTCACAGTCTCTGAGAAATACCGCTGACAGGGGGACAACAAGGTGAGACGAAGGGAGGCACAAGGTAGTGAGCAGGCAGCACCTCGCAGGTGCGTGCATTGCTTCGTTACTCAGATGTACAAATACTGCTGAAACATATTATGGATAAACAAGAACGTCCTTCTCATGATGTGAGTCGCAGATGTATCAGCTGTGGGGCTGGAAGAGCACGTGCGGAAAGAATTTACTAGATTCACAATTAGTAAATGCATGCAGCAGTGCAAACCACATGCGCATACTCGGTGCTGCCTCCTGTGAACTGAGATACGTGCTAGTACAGGGAGTTGAGGAACTTGAGAAGCATTTGCCGGTATCACCTACACCTGTACTAGCGGGCTGCGCTATTACTTTAGGTAGTACTACTACCTTCTACAGTATCAGCGAGAGCACCGTGAGATGAACTGAGGGTGCACGGACCTTGAGTAGCGTTGATCGGTTGTGCATCGCACGGCGCGAAGACGAACGCGGCAGCCCAAAGCACGGCGGCGAGCGCAAGCCATGCTCGTGGCTGCATCAGAGTTGGGTTTGGCGTCGGCATTTGCGGCGACGGCGTGCCTCCACAGTCACTCTCTCAGGGATATGTTACACACGAAATAAGCCTAGTATTGATGGAAACGCTACTAACTTCTAACACTAGTATCACGGATGAGGAGGAGAGGGGAGCGGGGGACAGGGTCATTGGCAAATTTGGTCCAGGTTGGAAACTAAACCGTCGATGAAAACTGCTGAGAACGGTCCAGATTATACCTCAGATTAGGTTTCCAGGTTGGAATGACAACTGTCGAGGGGATCAAGATGGGTCAGAAAACAGTTTCAGCAAAATAGAAAGCTGGCTTTTCAGCCGTCGATCATTCAAATTTGATGGTTACGATCAGAAGTGAAGTGTGTCTGGTTGGAATTTCAGCCGTCGATGTCTGAGATACCATATTCTCGAGATCCTTTTGCTTTCATTGACAGGATTTCGAACCACTCCGATTTCAGGTGAGGCAGAACATACGTCCCATCCCAAGCACCTCACCACCAACCCTCATTTCCTCGAATCTCTCCAATTTGCAGACAGACATTCAGCTAGCCGTTAGGACGACTTACAAGTCGGTATCCGCGTGCGACGCCTCCCGTATGCGACGCGACCTATAAGCGACGCTACCCGTATGCGACGCGACCTGAAAGCGACGCTGCTTCTGCATCGCTACCCGTATGCGACGCAACCATTGGATTGCGCTGCATGTTCTCAAGAGCCCATCCGCACCCTTGGATGACGCCGTCTGATTCCAAGGATTGATCCGCGCCGTTAGATGGGCCGCACTTTTACGAGCAGTAATGGTGCGAAACGGATACTGGCATTCGGGTAGCCGTTTGGACGACTTTGAAAGTCCCGGATTTGCTACACACTGTCTGCGCGCGACGCTCTCTGCGCGCGTCGCAATCTGCGTGCGACGCTCTCTGCGTGCGACGCTATCCGCGTGCGACGCTCTCTTAGTGCGACGCTGTCTGCGCGCGACGCTGTCTGCGCGCGTCGCTCTCTGCGCGCGTCGGTATCCGCGTGCGACGCCATCTGTGTGCGACGCTATCTGCGTGCATCTCTATCCGCGACGCTGCCTGTGTGCATCTCTATCCGTATTCAACTCCACCCCTAAATTACGCTGCTTGATTCCATGGGTCCAACCTCACCGTTGGATGATGCTGCCTGATTCCAGGGATTGATCCGCGCCGTCGGATGATGGGTCGCCGCGGGGTAACCGGAGCTTCGTCAGAATCAGCTGGGAGGGAGGGGGAGGAAACTACGCGTTAGAGGAGATTTCGTTATGCTGCGTTTACGGCTGATGGCAGGTATTGCTGCAAAAGCACGTCTCTACGGTCTCTGCAGTCGCCTCACAATCCCTTGTCACATCTTCATTCAATGCTAGTGGTCGCATCTCCCAACTTTGCACTACCTCTTTGCCTCACTCATTCGTCACTCCTCTCCTCTTGGATGCAGCCACGTAGCAGTGGCCACGTCAGCAGGTTTCAAGTTATTCCTCTGTGCTGACGTGGCACAACCCGTCGTGATCCACCTGGGCGTGGGCCCGATAAAGATCGTCGAGCTCACTCTCGTCGCGCCACCGCCACATGGCGCAACGCCATTCGTCGCATTCGTTGGCACAGGAGACACGGTAGTGCCTTTTTCATTCCTTCCCTTCACCTCCCTTATCCCCCCCCCCCTCCCCGTCCTCATCACTTCTGTGGCAATTCCAACGGTGGGTGCTTGTAGTATAGCAACAAGCACATCTATCGCACACCCCTCTCAGGCTGGAATCACACACCCCTCTCAGGCTGTTGCTGCCGGCTTCCCTGTGTTGCTCTCCCTCTTAGTCGCTCCAAACCCCAACAGTTGTTGCTTAACATATGGTCTCTATCTTCGAGCCACATTGCTTTTTTTTAGTCGATTTAAAGAACGGTTGGTGCTTTCCATGTGGTCTCAAACCCCTTGGAAAGATGGCTGACAGGTTCAGCAAGATACCTGTATCTCAGTGCACTATTGAGAGAAGAGCACACGTGCCGTGACACAAGTGCAATATTCTATACCAAGTAAATAAAAAGGAAACATTTTTGTGCATTTGTTTTTCCACCAGAAGCGAAATCTGCACACAACATGCGAAGCTATATACCTCCCCATCTCTCCCCTTCAAGTTCCCCTTTCCTTTGGCCCCGTCATTTCCTCCCTTCCCCGTTTCCCTTCCCATTTCCCCTTTTCCATCCCCCCCGTGCCATTCTTCCCTTTTGGTGCTCTGAGCCCCCTCTTTTCCCTCTTCATTCCCCCCTTCCCATCCCCCCCGCTGCCATTTTTCCTCTCTCCCCTTCCCCATTCCCCCCTTGCCCTCCCTTTTGAGTCGAGCCTTTTCCCCTTTCTGCCACTCCTCCCCCACTTCCCCTTCCTCCCTCCTTCTCCCCCCCCCCCCCCCCCCCCCCCTCTCCACCCCTTCTCCTAGATCAGCCCCATCTCTGGCCTCTCAAGTGGGGGGTGAGTGGCAAAGTCAGCAGCAGCAGCAGCAGCAACACCACATAAAATACCACCTCACCTGGTGGAACCATCTTTGCATTTACCCGTGCGTGCGTGTTCTCTCCTCTTTGGAACCATAGAATGCCATTTGCGCTATCTCTGGCTTCTCAAGTGGGGGGTGAGTGTGTGCCACTTACGGACTGTAATTCTCAAAAACTCCCTGCAACATGAGGGAATCTCATTCACGTTTCATTTCTAGTCAACCTAAAAGCCTCTTGCGTGCTTGTTACTCTGTCCGCTTGCTACTCTTTCCGCTTGCTACTCTTTCCGCTTGCTACTCTTTCCGCTTGCTACTCTTTCCGCTTGCTACTCTTTCCGCTTGCTACTCTTTCCGCTTGCTACTCTTTCCGCTTGCTACTCTTTCCGCTTGCTACTCTTTCCGCTTGCTACTCTTTCCGCTTGCTACTCTTTCCGCTTGCTACTCTTTCCGCTTGCTACTCTTTCCGCTTGCTACTCTTTCCGCTTGCTACTCTTTCCGCTTGCTACTCTTTCCGCTTGCTACTCTTTCCGCTTGCTACTCTTTCCGCTTGCTACTCTTTCCGCTTGCTACTCTTTCCGCTTGCTACTCTTTCCGCTTGCTACTCTTTCCGCTTGCTACTCTTTCCGCTTGCTACTCTTTCCGCTTGCTACTCTTTCCGCTTGCTACTCTTTCCGCTTGCTACTCTTTCCGCTTGCTACTCTTTCCGCTTGCTACTCTTTCCGCTTGCTACTCTTTCCGCTTGCTACTCTTTCCGCTTGCTACTCTTTCCGCTTGCTACTCTTTCCGCTTGCTACTCTTTCCGCTTGCTACTCTTTCCGCTTGCTACTCTTTCCGCTTGCTACTCTTTCCGCTTGCTACTCTTTCCGCTTGCTACTCTTTCCGCTTGCTACTCTTTCCGCTTGCTACTCTTTCCGCTTGCTACTCTTTCCGCTTGCTACTCTTTCCGCTTGCTACTCTTTCCGCTTGCTACTCTTTCCGCTTGCTACTCTTTCCGCTTGCTACTCTTTCCGCTTGCTACTCTTTCCGCTTGCTACTCTTTCCGCTTGCTACTCTTTCCGCTTGCTACTCTTTCCGCTTGCTACTCTTTCCGCTTGCTACTCTTTCCGCTTGCTACTCTTTCCGCTTGCTACTCTTTCCGCTTGCTACTCTTTCCGCTTGCTACTCTTTCCTTTCCGCTTGCTACTCTTTCCGCTTGCTACTCTTTCCGCTTGCTACTCTTTCCGCTTGCTACTCTTTCCGCTTGCTACTCTTTCCGCTTGCTACTCTTTCCGCTTGCTACTCTTTCCGCTTGCTACTCTTTCCGCTTGCTACTCTTGCTACTCTTTCCGCTTGCTACTCTTTCCGCTTGCTACTCTTTCCGCTTGCTACTCTTTCCGCTTGCTACTCTTTCCGCTTGCTACTCTTTCCGCTTGCTACTCTTTCCGCTTGCTACTCTTTCCGCTTGCTACTCTTTCCGCTTGCTACTCTTTCCGCTTGCTACTCTTTCCGCTTGCTACTCTTTCCGCTTGCTACTCTTTCCGCTTGCTACTCTTTCCGCTTGCTACTCTTTCCGCTTGCTACTCTTTCCGCTTGCTACTCTTTCCGCTTGCTACTCTTTCCGCTCCGCTTGCTACTCTTTCCGCTTGCTACTCTTTCCGCTTGCTACTCTTTCCGCTTGCTACTCTTTCCGCTTGCTACTCTTTCCGCTTGCTACTCTTTCCGCTTGCTACTCTTTCCGCTTGCTACTCTTTCCGCTTGCTACTCTTTCCGCTTGCTACTCTTTCCGCTTGCTACTCTTTCCGCTTGCTACTCTTTCCGCTTGCTACTCTTTCCGCTTGCTACTCTTTCCGCTTGCTACTCTTTCCGCTTGCTACTCTTTCCGCTTGCTACTCTTTCCGCTTGCTACTCTTTCCGCTTGCTACTCTTTCCGCTTGCTACTCTTTCCGCTTGCTACTCTTTCCGCTTGCTACTCTTTCCGCTTGCTACTCTTTCCGCTTGCTACTCTTTCCGCTTGCTACTCTTTCCGCTTGCTACTCTTTCCGCTTGCTACTCTTTCCGCTTGCTACTCTTTCCGCTTGCTACTCTTTCCGCTTGCTACTCTTTCCGCTTGCTACTCTTTCCGCTTGCTACTCTTTCCGCTTGCTACTCTTTCCGCTTGCTACTCTTTCCGCTTGCTACTCTTTCCGCTTGCTACTCTTTCCGCTTGCTACTCTTTCCGCTTGCTACTCTTTCCGCTTGCTACTCTTTCCGCTTGCTACTCTTTCCGCTTGCTACTCTTTCCGCTTGCTACTCTTTCCGCTTGCTACTCTTTCCGCTTGCTACTCTTTCCGCTTGCTACTCTTTCCGCTTGCTACTCTTTCCGCTTGCTACTCTTTCCGCTTGCTACTCTTTCCGCTTGCTACTCTTTCCGCTTGCTACTCTACTCTTTCCGCTTGCTACTCTTTCCGCTTGCTACTCTTTCCGCTTGCTACTCTTTCCGCTTGCTACTCTTTCCGCTTGCTACTCTTTCCGCTTGCTACTCTTTCCGCTTGCTACTCTTTCCGCTTGCTACTCTTTCCGCTTGCTACTCTTTCCGCTTGCTACTCTTTCCGCTTGCTACTCTTTCCGCTTGCTACTCTTTCCGCTTGCTACTCTTTCCGCTTGCTACTCTTTCCGCTTGCTACTCTTTCCGCTTGCTACTCTTTCCGCTTGCTACTCTTTCCGCTTGCTACTCTTTCCGCTTGCTACTCTTTCCGCTTGCTACTCTTTCCGCTTGCTACTCTTTCCGCTTGCTACTCTTTCCGCTTGCTACTCTTTCCGCTTGCTACTCTTTCCGCTTGCTACTCTTTCCGCTTGCTACTCTTTCCGCTTGCTACTCTTTCCGCTTGCTACTCTTTCCGCTTGCTACTCTTTCCGCTTGCTACTCTTTCCGCTTGCTACTCTTTCCGCTTGCTACTCTTTCCGCTTGCTACTCTTTCCGCTTGCTACTCTTTCCGCTTGCTACTCTTTCCGCTTGCTACTCTTTCCGCTTGCTACTCTTTCCGCTTGCTACTCTTTCCGCTTGCTACTCTTTCCGCTTGCTACTCTTTCCGCTTGCTACTCTTTCCGCTTGCTACTCTTTCCGCTTGCTACTCTTTCCGCTTGCTACTCTTTCCGCTTGCTACTCTTTCCGCTTGCTACTCTTTCCGCTTGCTACTCTTTCCGCTTGCTACTCTTTCCGCTTGCTACTCTTTCCGCTTGCTACTCTTTCCGCTTGCTACTCTTTCCGCTTGCTACTCTTTCCGCTTGCTACTCTTTCCGCTTGCTACTCTTTCCGCTTGCTACTCTTTCCGCTTGCTACTCTTTCCGCTTGCTACTCTTTCCGCTTGCTACTCTTTCCGCTTGCTACTCTTTCCGCTTGCTACTCTTTCCGCTTGCTACTCTTTCCGCTTGCTACTCTTTCCGCTTGCTACTCTTTCCGCTTGCTACTCTTTCCGCTTGCTACTCTTTCCGCTTGCTACTCTTTCCGCTTGCTACTCTTTCCGCTTGCTACTCTTTCCGCTTGCTACTCTTTCCGCTTGCTACTCTTTCCGCTTGCTACTCTTTCCGCTTGCTACTCTTTCCGCTTGCTACTCTTTCCGCTTGCTACTCTTTCCGCTTGCTACTCTTTCCGCTTGCTACTCTTTCCGCTTGCTACTCTTTCCGCTTGCTACTCTTTCCGCTTGCTACTCTTTCCGCTTGCTACTCTTTCCGCTTGCTACTCTTTCCGCTTGCTACTCTTTCCGCTTGCTACTCTTTCCGCTTGCTACTCTTTCCGCTTGCTACTCTTTCCGCTTGCTACTCTTTCCGCTTGCTACTCTTTCCGCTTGCTACTCTTTCCGCTTGCTACTCTTTCCGCTTGCTACTCTTTCCGCTTGCTACTCTTTCCGCTTGCTACTCTTTCCGCTTGCTACTCTTTCCGCTTGCTACTCTTTCCGCTTGCTACTCTTTCCGCTTGCTACTCTTTCCGCTTGCTACTCTTTCCGCTTGCTACTCTTTCCGCTTGCTACTCTTTCCGCTTGCTACTCTTTCCGCTTGCTACTCTTTCCGCTTGCTACTCTTTCCGCTTGCTACTCTTTCCGCTTGCTACTCTTTCCGCTTGCTACTCTTTCCGCTTGCTACTCTTTCCGCTTGCTACTCTTTCCGCTTGCTACTCTTTCCGCTTGCTACTCTTTCCGCTTGCTACTCTTTCCGCTTGCTACTCTTTCCGCTTGCTACTCTTTCCGCTTGCTACTCTTTCCGCTTGCTACTCTTTCCGCTTGCTACTCTTTCCGCTTGCTACTCTTTCCGCTTGCTACTCTTTCCGCTTGCTACTCTTTCCGCTTGCTACTCTTTCCGCTTGCTACTCTTTCCGCTTGCTACTCTTTCCGCTTGCTACTCTTTCCGCTTGCTACTCTTTCCGCTTGCTACTCTTTCCGCTTGCTACTCTTTCCGCTTGCTACTCTTTCCGCTTGCTACTCTTTCCGCTTGCTACTCTTTCCGCTTGCTACTCTTTCCGCTTGCTACTCTTTCCGCTTGCTACTCTTTCCGCTTGCTACTCTTTCCGCTTGCTACTCTTTCCGCTTGCCTCTCTTTCCGCTTGCTACTCTTTCCGCTTGCTACTCTTTCCGCTTGCTACTCTTTCCGCTTGCTACTCTTTCCGCTTGCTACTCTTTCCGCTTGCTACTCTTTCCGCTTGCTACTCTTTCCGCTTGCTACTCTTTCCGCTTGCTACTCTTTCCGCTTGCTACTCTTTCCGCTTGCTACTCTTTCCGCTTGCTACTCTTTCCGCTTGCTACTCTTTCCGCTTGCTACTCTTTCCGCTTGCTACTCTTTCCGCTTGCTACTCTTTCCGCTTGCTACTCTTTCCGCTTGCTACTCTTTCCGCTTGCTACTCTTTCCGCTTGCTACTCTTTCCGCTTGCTACTCTTTCCGCTTGCTACTCTTTCCGCTTGCTACTCTTTCCGCTTGCTACTCTTTCCGCTTGCTACTCTTTCCGCTTGCTACTCTTTCCGCTTGCTACTCTTTCCGCTTGCTACTCTTTCCGCTTGCTACTCTTTCCGCTTGCTACTCTTTCCGCTTGCTACTCTTTCCGCTTGCTACTCTTTCCGCTTGCTACTCTTTCCGCTTGCTACTCTTTCCGCTTGCTACTCTTTCCGCTTGCTACTCTTTCCGCTTGCTACTCTTTCCGCTTGCTACTCTTTCCGCTTGCTACTCTTTCCGCTTGCTACTCTTTCCGCTTGCTACTCTTTCCGCTTGCTACTCTTTCCGCTTGCTACTCTTTCCGCTTGCTACTCTTTCCGCTTGCTACTCTTTCCGCTTGCTACTCTTTCCGCTTGCTACTCTTTCCGCTTGCTACTCTTTCCGCTTGCTACTCTTTCCGCTTGCTACTCTTTCCGCTTGCTACTCTTTCCGCTTGCTACTCTTTCCGCTTGCTACTCTTTCCGCTTGCTACTCTTTCCGCTTGCTACTCTTTCCGCTTGCTACTCTTTCCGCTTGCTACTCTTTCCGCTTGCTACTCTTTCCGCTTGCTACTCTTTCCGCTTGCTACTCTTTCCGCTTGCTACTCTTTCCGCTTGCTACTCTTTCCGCTTGCTACTCTTTCCGCTTGCTACTCTTTCCGCTTGCTACTCTTTCCGCTTGCTACTCTTTCCGCTTGCTACTCTTTCCGCTTGCTACTCTTTCCGCTTGCTACTCTTTCCGCTTGCTACTCTTTCCGCTTGCTACTCTTTCCGCTTGCTACTCTTTCCGCTTGCTACTCTTTCCGCTTGCTACTCTTTCCGCTTGCTACTCTTTCCGCTTGCTACTCTTTCCGCTTGCTACTCTTTCCGCTTGCTACTCTTTCCGCTTGCTACTCTTTCCGCTTGCTACTCTTTCCGCTTGCTACTCTTTCCGCTTGCTACTCTTTCCGCTTGCTACTCTTTCCGCTTGCTACTCTTTCCGCTTGCTACTCTTTCCGCTTGCTACTCTTTCCGCTTGCTACTCTTTCCGCTTGCTACTCTTTCCGCTTGCTACTCTTTCCGCTTGCTACTCTTTCCGCTTGCTACTCTTTCCGCTTGCTACTCTTTCCGCTTGCTACTCTTTCCGCTTGCTACTCTTTCCGCTTGCTACTCTTTCCGCTTGCTACTCTTTCCGCTTGCTACTCTTTCCGCTTGCTACTCTTTCCGCTTGCCTCTCTTTCCGCTTGCTACTCTTTCCGCTTGCTACTCTTTCCGCTTGCTACTCTTTCCGCTTGCTACTCTTTCCGCTTGCTACTCTTTCCGCTTGCTACTCTTTCCGCTTGCTACTCTTTCCGCTTGCTACTCTTTCCGCTTGCTACTCTTTCCGCTTGCTACTCTTTCCGCTTGCTACTCTTTCCGCTTGCTACTCTTTCCGCTTGCTACTCTTTCCGCTTGCTACTCTTTCCGCTTGCTACTCTTTCCGCTTGCTACTCTTTCCGCTTGCTACTCTTTCCGCTTGCTACTCTTTCCGCTTGCTACTCTTTCCGCTTGCTACTCTTTCCGCTTGCTACTCTTTCCGCTTGCTACTCTTTCCGCTTGCTACTCTTTCCGCTTGCTACTCTTTCCGCTTGCTACTCTTTCCGCTTGCTACTCTTTCCGCTTGCTACTCTTTCCGCTTGCTACTCTTTCCGCTTGCTACTCTTTCCGCTTGCTACTCTTTCCGCTTGCTACTCTTTCCGCTTGCTACTCTTTCCGCTTGCTACTCTTTCCGCTTGCTACTCTTTCCGCTTGCTACTCTTTCCGCTTGCTACTCTTTCCGCTTGCTACTCTTTCCGCTTGCTACTCTTTCCGCTTGCTACTCTTTCCGCTTGCTACTCTTTCCGCTTGCTACTCTTTCCGCTTGCTACTCTTTCCGCTTGCTACTCTTTCCGCTTGCTACTCTTTCCGCTTGCTACTCTTTCCGCTTGCTACTCTTTCCGCTTGCTACTCTTTCCGCTTGCTACTCTTTCCGCTTGCTACTCTTTCCGCTTGCTACTCTTTCCGCTTGCTACTCTTTCCGCTTGCTACTCTTTCCGCTTGCTACTCTTTCCGCTTGCTACTCTTTCCGCTTGCTACTCTTTCCGCTTGCTACTCTTTCCGCTTGCTACTCTTTCCGCTTGCTACTCTTTCCGCTTGCTACTCTTTCCGCTTGCTACTCTTTCCGCTTGCTACTCTTTCCGCTTGCTACTCTTTCCGCTTGCTACTCTTTCCGCTTGCTACTCTTTCCGCTTGCTACTCTTTCCGCTTGCTACTCTTTCCGCTTGCTACTCTTTCCGCTTGCTACTCTTTCCGCTTGCTACTCTTTCCGCTTGCTACTCTTTCCGCTTGCTACTCTTTCCGCTTGCTACTCTTTCCGCTTGCTACTCTTTCCGCTTGCTACTCTTTCCGCTTGCTACTCTTTCCGCTTGCTACTCTTTCCGCTTGCTACTCTTTCCGCTTGCTACTCTTTCCGCTTGCTACTCTTTCCGCTTGCTACTCTTTCCGCTTGCTACTCTTTCCGCTTGCTACTCTTTCCGCTTGCTACTCTTTCCGCTTGCTACTCTTTCCGCTTGCTACTCTTTCCGCTTGCTACTCTTTCCGCTTGCTACTCTTTCCGCTTGCTACTCTTTCCGCTTGCTACTCTTTCCGCTTGCTACTCTTTCCGCTTGCTACTCTTTCCGCTTGCTACTCTTTCCGCTTGCTACTCTTTCCGCTTGCTACTCTTTCCGCTTGCTACTCTTTCCGCTTGCTACTCTTTCCGCTTGCTACTCTTTCCGCTTGCTACTCTTTCCGCTTGCTACTCTTTCCGCTTGCTACTCTTTCCGCTTGCTACTCTTTCCGCTTGCTACTCTTTCCGCTTGCTACTCTTTCCGCTTGCTACTCTTTCCGCTTGCTACTCTTTCCGCTTGCTACTCTTTCCGCTTGCTACTCTTTCCGCTTGCTACTCTTTCCGCTTGCTACTCTTTCCGCTTGCTACTCTTTCCGCTTGCTACTCTTTCCGCTTGCTACTCTTTCCGCTTGCTACTCTTTCCGCTTGCTACTCTTTCCGCTTGCTACTCTTTCCGCTTGCTACTCTTTCCGCTTGCTACTCTTTCCGCTTGCTACTCTTTCCGCTTGCTACTCTTTCCGCTTGCTACTCTTTCCGCTTGCTACTCTTTCCGCTTGCTACTCTTTCCGCTTGCTACTCTTTCCGCTTGCTACTCTTTCCGCTTGCTACTCTTTCCGCTTGCTACTCTTTCCGCTTGCTACTCTTTCCGCTTGCTACTCTTTCCGCTTGCTACTCTTTCCGCTTGCTACTCTTTCCGCTTGCTACTCTTTTCGCTTGCTACTCTTTCCGCTTGCTACTCTTTCCGCTTGCTACTCTTTCCGCTTGCTACTCTTTCCGCTTGCTACTCTTTCCGCTTGCCTCTTTCTCGAAAGCGCACCATACACACATTCCTTGCACATCTCTAACATTGCAGCATGAAGCGTTTCTGGAACGCTTAGTGCTCTCTATGCGTAGTGGCAAGGCATATCATGCAACTCACTGCAAACAGCCACCTGACCATGCATCATCTTTCCACCTGACCATGCATCATCCACCTGACCCTGCATCATCCACCTGACCCTGCATCATCCACCTGACCACGCATCATCTTTCCACCTGATGTTCTTTATTCAACGGCCTGGCCAGGATATATCCCCACTCCTACCACCCCGTCCCCTCTTCCTTTCTGCCTTCTCCCGCCACCCTCCAATGGCTTGGCCAGGCTATATCTGAGGGTTTTCACGTCCAGTGGGTCATTCAACCAATATTGCATCTCAGCCGGCCAGCGTGCTACTTAGACCGAGGAAATACCTGATCAGAAATAAAAGGACGGGATTTTCAGAACCTGTTTTTGGATGTCTTGTCCTCACAATTTCTGTTTGCTATTACACATAGCACGGGATTTCACAAGTTTTGAGATAGACTGAATAGGTAGTAGAACCTTCAGTTGTACTTAAAAGAAGTGTATTGATCAGCCTAAGAGCATAAAACAAAATAGCCAACTACCACCACTACCAGGGTGGTCTGTGCTGTTGAGCCATAACCTCTAACAACACATTTTCCTCTCCATGCAAAGCAATCCGGGCAGAACCCAATCACTCCAAAGCAAAGCGCTGACCATCCACACCACACTCAGCAACAGTCAATTGGAAAGCGCTACTAAACACCATCACTTGTAGGTGGGCTGCTTAGAGCTCTCCTCTCCCCATGCCTCACACCGGGTTTTCCTCAGCAAAGCTGTCCCCAATCATCTGGATTTCTGCGTCAAGGCTCTCGATACCCGCGAAAGCATCCTTCATCTCCTGAACTTGAGAATCCACCTTGACAGCAGCGCTCAGCTCCTCTTTCCCCACCACTTCATCCCGGATAGCCTGCAGCTCATTGGCAATTTGTGCCATGCTTGGGCGCCCTGCAGTGCGCTCCCCGGTGCAGGAGAGGGCGAGCTGAGCCACACGCAGCACAGCATCTGCAGGAGCATCCATGTTGGGATCCTTGAGGCTCCCCAGCTCACCCGAGGACAGGCACTCGGATGCCTGGAAGGAAGAAAGTACACACAGAGGGGGATGGGATGGGAGAGTTCACAAACGGGTAGGAGGGAGTTGATGAGTCGACACATCAAATAGTATGACAAGAAGTCTGAGTTCCTTGACTGCTCTCGAGAATGTGAGTTTAAGCACACCGTGGAAAGGTGAACACTTACCCAAAGTAATCCCTTTGGGAACACCCGAAGACCTTACCCATGGGGTGATTTGCTGGCTCTTGCCGGCAGTCTCGGAGAGAGGGGCCTGTCCGGTGAGCACCACCAACATGAGAACTCCAAAGCTGAAAAACAACACACATGTTCAAAGGCAATGTTTTTTAGGTTGAAAAGTCGAACCATCTCAAAAGTCGAACTTCAAAGCTGAAAACCAGAACACGTGATCAAATGCAGAAAATGCTGACGGTTCAGATGTTGACCGATCACCACATGGCCGACTGAGTCCAGCATGCATAGTTTTATGCTCATCACGCGCATCACACCCATCACACCCATCACGCCCGCCCACAAAGATCACGACAAGACAACCATCAGGCCTTGTCTCGTCAGTCAGCATCAGCTGCAAGGCTTTTGAGACGTCTCAAAAGTTATCTCGTCAGTCAGCAGCATCACCTGCAAGGACTTCTTTCTGTTCCTCCTTGTGTGGCAAGGCTTTCTGTCTGCAATGCCTCCTGCCTCACCTGTACACATTGCTGGCTGCAGTCACCTTGGATATTCTGGAGTAAACAGGATTCACATAACCCATGACGCGAGTCGTGCCCACACTCTTTGAGACGTCCCGAAATGATCACCTGTAGACATCACTGCCTCACCTAACGGCTCCTGCAATTATCACCTGTACACATCGCTGGCTGCAGTCGCCTTGGACGTTCGGGAGTAGACAGGATCCACATAGCCCGGTGTGCCCATGATGCGAGTCGTACCCACGGTTGTGCCCTCTCCCATCCTCACCAGCCCAAAGTCTGCAATCTTGGCCTGGTGGGTGCGTTGAGAGACATTGTAGCATGAGACGAGTGTGAGAATAACGGAGGCATATATACATGTGGCGTGATGTACCAGTGCCTGATCTAGAGTTCAACACATAACTTAATTATGATACGAATAGACATTGTCTCCACTGAGCGACAACTAAGTTTCATACTTCATCCGTGTACGCTCTGATCTTGAATAATTACTTCACCACGGTTCCCATTCTTATTGCATAAACAGACTGTGGGATTAGAACAAAACAATGTGAAATGAACCAAGCTTGCCTGCATGTTGTCGGTGATGAGGACGTTAGCAGGCTTGATGTCGCGGTGCACGATACCAAAGCCATGGAGGTACTCGAAGCCCCGTGCCATGCCAATGAGAATATCCAGCCGCTGCTTCAGAGTCAGAGGGCATTCTGCCTCTGCAAGGATACACAATATGAATGGCAGTGCATGTCAGTGGAAGAGTGTATGAGTGACAGAGGTTATGAGTGACAGAGCGAATGAGTGACAGTGCATGTGAGTGACACAGCGTGTGAGTGGCAGTGCATGTGAGTGACAGAGCGTGTGAGTGGCAGCGCATGTGAGTGACAGAGCGTGTGAGTGGCAGCGCATGTGAGTGGCAGCGCATGTGAATGGCAGTGCATGTGAGCGACAGCGTATGTGAGTGGCAAAGAATTAGGGGGACAGACAGAGCATGTGAACGACACAACATACGAGTGTCACAACGGAATAAACACTGGGGGAGTGCCGCATATACTTGAATCAATCCATTTGTGAAGGTCGCCATTGGGCACGTATTCATAGATGAGAACTTGCTCTGGCCGAGTCCTCAGGTCTCCTCCGATTGCAAACCCAAGAAGTCTCACAATGTTGGGGTGGTTCTTGTCGGCCATCTGCTTGATCTGATTTTCATACAAGAAAACGTGAGCAGCAGAGAAGAAGGAGCAGCTTGAAAAGTGGAGCACGCAAGAAATAGTCTAGAAGGGTCCACAATTGGAGGAGTTTTACGTATTTCTACTCATGCCTGCAAAAGCTCGTGAAATAAGACTTCACATGAAAAAAAAAAAGGAATTTCTGAAGCACAAACAATCTTTAACTAGAATGGCAGAAAACACCATGGCAAGGCAACGACAAATGGCATCAACAGCAAAACCAAGCTGCATGTCAGCATGACTCACTGACCTCCTTCTGGAAGCCGACGCCTATGACTATTAGCTTGAGAATTCTCAAAAGTTACTCCAACGAGAATTCTAAAAAGTTACTCAAAAGGGAATTCTCAAAAGCTACTCAAGGAAAAACAATTCCCAGAAGGGCCTCAAGAAAAACCATCTCAAAAGTGCCTCACTGACCTCCTTCTGGAAGTCAACGTCTATGAGCTTGAGAATGCTTAAAAGTGACTCAAAATTAAGTTCTCAAATGTTACAAAAAATAGATTCTCAAAAGTGATTCAAAAGACAATTCTCAAATGTGAGTAAAAAAAAACTCGAAGGTCCCTCAGTTCTCGAAAGTGCCTCACTGACCTCCTTCTGGAAGTCTACGTCTATGAGCTTGGCGCGCTTCACAGTCCACACGGTGGTGCCATCGCGGGGAGAGACGCCCTTGTACACATCGCCAAAGGCACCCGAGCCCAGCTGGTGGTCCTGGGACCAGTCATTGGTGGCCGTGAGGACCTCCTCCAGTGAGTACTCGGTGCAATGGGACGCTGCCAGGCTGCACCCCAGGTCTGATCAGAGGGGTGAAAGGGGGGTAAAAGGATGTACATCCAGAGATGAGAACTAGCCGACTCAAAAGGCACCCGGCTGGTGGTCCTGGGACCAGTTATTGGTGGCCGTGAGGACCTCTTTTAGAGGGAACTCGGTGCAATGAGAGGCTGTCAGGCTGCCTCCCAGGTCTCTTCATGGTGTCAGAGGGGTGAAGGAGGTACATGCAGAGTTGAGAACATGCAGACTCGACAGAACGAGTTGCTGATTTCAGTCGAGTCGGGCTCGTGTTTGCCCTGACAACATGACTCACACAAATGTTCCAGATTGGGGCTGATTCAAGTCGTGTGGGTCCCTATATGGGTCATGGAAGACTTGACCAAAACGGGAGACATTTAGGTCAAGACTTCCTTAACATTATTTCAAGAAAACAGCCGCATATAGTACCACCAAGAGACTCTGGTCATCCAGAGTGCACTCCTTCTTGCTGCTTTAACTCCCTACCTTTTGGCTTCTGCTGCTGCTGCTGCTGCTGCTGCTTGTGGTGCCTCAAGTAGAGCAGAGAGGCGCCCAGAAGCAGGAGAATGACCACAGCGGCTACAGCAATGCCAATGATGACTCCCACTGACAGCCCACCTCCACCTCCAGATGCTGCTGGTGAAGTAGACTCGCTGCTGCTGCTGCTGTTGCTCTTGATGTTGTTGATGCCACTGTTGTTGCTGTTGCTGCTGTTGTTGCTGCTGCTGCTGCTGCTGTTGCTACTGCTGTTGCCGCTGCTGTTCTTTGTGATCGGGACTGCACAAGTGTAGAATAGAACCAATCTGTCAGGATTACAAGAAGTCGCTTACCAAAAACAATAGTGAGGTGGAGCAATATTCAGACCAAGAGCAGAGCAAAATGACTTTTAATTCGACTCTTAAGTTTCAAGACAGTGCGGTGGAGCAGTATTCTAGTCAGCCAAGAAGTCAATTTGCACACGAAAGGATCAGAAAGGTGGTGGATCACTTGCAACGGAGCAAGACAAAAGCTCGTATCATGACTTTTGACGCGCCTCAAACGAACCCGTACAGTGTACCATGCTTCAACACACCCCTTCGGTTCGCCAAGGCAGAAGAGGTGCTCTCCATGGTTGGACTTGCCTTGTGTCATGACTCTGTGAATATTTTATAACAACATTGTTCTATTCTGGTACAACTTTGTTTCAATCACTTGCCTGCAGGTTTGCGACAAGTCTTGCAAAAGGATTTACACTTCTGGCAAAAGGCTGTGGTCGGATCCTGTGTTGTGCCACAGTCAGTGTTGTCAGGTGGGCACGTGAGGTTTGTGCCAGTGACGTTGCTGCAATAGGAAGGGGGGGAGATCAAAATGCGGAAGTCGTGGGCACAACTGCACGGACATTGACCTTACAAACCTAGCATAAAAATGGGAACAGTGGTGGGGCTAAGTGGGACATAAGGAGGGAAGCAACAAACAGATGACTGGAAGGATTCTGCAGTGGAGAAGGGAAAAGGAGAGGAGCATGTGGGTGGATGCACACAAGGAAGGCCGCAAGTGGGGACAGATGGATGTGAAGATGGTGCCATCTTGCTCCCCACCGACAGACATGCTACGAACATTGCCGTACCATAAAAATGAATGCAGGTCATTGAATTACTGCTGTTCCTCCTACAAGAGTGCTCAATACTAACAAAATGGGTCAGCCTACTTCACCAAACTAGTAAGAGATCATTCGAGTCAGAGAGGTTTCCATTTCCATTCTGATAAGCCGGTAATGAGAGGTTCCTCAGATCTTGAATGTGAGTACTGGTAAAAGAGATGGAAGGAAAGAGATGACTGCTCAATAGAAGTGTTGATAGGCGAGTTGTGTATTTGTACGAACCAGGCAATGCAACGATATAACAACAAGCCATAGGGTTCTTTCAATGCTGTCAACCCCAAAGCCAATCATGGCTGGGATATCCAAAGATTGTTGTCATGATAATTTCAGGCTCTGCAACTTGAGTAAGGCCCCTAGAGAGGGCGAAATGGTTCCATTCAAGTGATTCGTATCTACGTCCCTGACAGACGATGAAGAACAACAGCCCGGGATGAAGGAGAAGGAGAATGAAGAGGGAGGGAGGGCCATGCGTTCCAAATGCTGGCCGATCATTGCAATGGAGTTTATTTCAATCCTGGAAATGAACAGAAGCAATTGATGGTCTTTTTTATTACAGAAACAACAGTGTGGGGGATGTTGTTGTCAACGGGAGTTGTTGTTGGCCCCGTCCTCGCTTGGGCGGAGCCGACTTCGTGGTTGGGTGTACGGGAGGTGCAGCCGACTTGCAGCAGTGGGCGACGCCGACTTGAGCGAGCTGGTCGACGGACGGGTTTGGTCGACTTGCACGGGGCCACTGCAATGCCGCCGACTTGGGAAGCCGGCGGCCGACTTCAACTGGTGGTCGGCGATGTGGCGCGTCGACCTGGAAGTCGGCGCCGAGGTCGCCGACTTGCAAGGTCGCCGACTTGCGAGGTCGCCGACTTGCGAGGTCGCCGACTTGCGAGGTCGCCGACTTGCGAGGTCGCCGACTTGGGAGGTCGCCGACTTCAAGAGGTCGGCCTGGAAGTCGGCGCCGACGTAGAAGGGGCGTCGACTTGGTGACGCCGACTTCGGGTAGCCGACTTGGGTGGTCGGCTGACAATTGTGCTGGTCGACGTAGAGCTGGCCGACCAGGGGTGTGGTCGACCTGGTGAGGTCGACTCGAGGTGGTCGTCGACTTGGGAGGTCGACGGACACATACAGGAGCAGCTGGTCGACGTGGTTGCTCGGTCGACCAGGCTACCAGGGTGACGAGGTTCTGCGGAGGAGTGCGACGGTCGCCCAGGCGATGTTGGCGAGACCGACCTCGGTGGTGGTATCCCGAGGTTGACGTGGCGGATCAGGTGCAGTCGTCAGCACGAGGACAACTTGATGTGTGCGCTGTGCAGGTGACGAGGCACATCATGCCAATCATCTGCGAGCACCTGCGAAGCTGGTGCGATGCTGTACTGCGGGAGCAACGCTGGCACGCCGTCGACCTGCAGCGTTGGCACGCCGTCGACTTTGCACTGCTGGAGCGGGGTCGACCAAGTCGTGCTGGAACGCGGTCGACCATGCTGTGCTGGCAGTCGACCGACCTGAATGCTAGCTCTGATGTAGTCTTGTCTTGCCAAATCTATTGTACCATTGTTGTCAACTTTCTCTAGTGAAACTCTTGCCAAATTGCCCCGTGAACTAGCAAGCAGTGTGTGCACTAGGGAAACGACTAAGGAACAACGAACGCAGAGATCACACGAGCATCCGTGCCTAGCCCGTAGTCTAGCTCCCGTTGTAGTAGTTATCTCCGCATGGTGCGGTGAGTGTGGAGGAGTGAAGCTGCAGGAGGACGGCGACGTGATGTTGCTCGTCTCGGCGGCGGGAGACGTCCTCGGTCGGGCGTACTACACGGGGCGAGTCCTCTGCACCGACCTGCGTCCCTGCTCACCGAGGTCGACGTCGCCCACGACGGAGGTCGTGGCCCTGCGGGCGATCGTCTCGGTGACGAAGTCGACGCCGGACAGGCTGCATGCGAGGCTTGCACACGTCGGCATGGACACCATCCGGAGCTCGGCAAAGCACGAGGTCGCCACTGGGCTGGACCTCAAGTCGGCGTCGGGCGCCGACTCACCGTGTATCTCGTGCGTCGGTGGGAAGCTGGCGCGGCACACCTTCCCCGACCAAGGCTCCGACGCCGACGACATGCTGGCCGTCGTGCACATCGACCTGTGCGGGCCGTTCCGCGTGGCTGCCAAGGACGGCAGCTTGTACTTCCTGCTGCTAAAGGACCGGAAGACCCGCTACGTGTGCGTGAGGCCGGTCGCCAAGAAGTCGGATGTACTGCTGGAGTTCCAGAAGTGGTTGGTGCTGGTAGAGCGGCAGGTGAAGACGTCGGTGCTGATGCTGCGCTCAGACCGAGGAGGGGAGTTCCTCGGGAAGAAGTTCACCGACTTCGTGGACGGCAAGGGGATCGTCCACGACCTTACCTGCCCGTACACCCCGCAGCAGAACGGCATGGCGGAGAGGGAGATGAGGACGGTGGTGGAGTCGGTGCGGACGATGCTGCTGCACATGGGCGTGCACCACCACTGGTGGCACCTCGCTCTGCGGCAGGCCGTCTGGGTCCGCAACTGCCTTGAGAGGTCGACGCTGCGGCCGGGGACTACACCGTGCCAGCTGCTGACCGGGAAGAAGCCCGACTTGTCGCTGGCCCGCGTGTGGGGCTGCATGGCGCAGTTCCTTGTCCCCGAGCAGCAGCGTGGTGGGAAGCTCAAGCCGAAGGCCAGGTGGGGCCTTCACCTCGGCGTGTCGGAGGAGAGCAAGGGCTGGGAGCTCCTCGACATCGCCGACAACCGGGTGGTCACCACGTCGGACGTGGTGTTCTACGAGGATATGTCGCTGGAGGTGTGGAAGTCGGAGCACGGGCCGGTGGCGAGACGGACGCCGACTACCCCGCCGACCGACACCTCGACGGCGGCGCTGCCTCTGCTCGCCGAGGTTGGTGAGCTTGCTGATGAGGGCGCCGAGGCCGTCCGTCCTCCTTCCCCTTCCCCTCCCCTCGTGGTCGACCTGCGCGGGCTGACTCCTGTGTCGGCCTCCGGCGATGAGGGGAGTAGTGGGACGTCGCCTTCGGCGCCGGCCAAGGGCATCGCCGGTGGCCGACGTGACGAGCGGCAAGTCGACGTGGGAGTGAAGTCGACGTGGATAGGGGAGGAGCAGGTCGAGGAGGTGCAGCCGAGTTGGGTGAAGCCGGCGAAGAACGCACCAGCAGGGCAACAGCCGACAGGGGAGCGGGCAGCGGTGAAGCCGACCACGGAGCAGTCGGCCACCAGGCAGTCGACAGAGGAGTCGACCACAGGGGAGACGTCGGCCGGGAAGCCGACCAAGGTGCAGCAGGACGACGAGGGCAGCAAAGCCGGTGACGAAGGAGGGGACGCTGAGGAGTCCACCGACAGCGACGTGGTGGAGGTTCAGCCTGGACCTCGGAAGTCCGACCGACTTCGGAGGCCGCCTGACTTCTTCGTCCTTGCTGCCTTCAATACCGTGTACGACGTGGACGACGACGACCTAGCGTATGTCGACGCCGAGGAGGATGAGGAGTTTCCGGAGCTCGACCTCGACATGCATGCCGACCCCGAGCACCGTTGGGACATCTCGACGATGACGGTGAAGGAGGCGTTGGCGAGCTGGAAGGGCCCGGCGGTGAAGGCCGCCATGGAGGAGGAGATCCGCAGCCTCATCAACATGGGCACTTGGGAGCTGGTCGAACGCCCACCGGGGGTGAACATCATGAAGAATCGGTGGGTGCTGACAACGAAGTACCACGTCGACGACACCGTGGAGCGGGAGAAGGCGAGGCTGGTCGTGAAGGGCTTCACCTGGGTGTATGGCGCCGACTACGACGAGACGTTCGCACCGGTGGGCAGCTACGTCACGCTGAGGATCTTCCTCAGCATCGTCGCCGTCCTCAACCTCAACCTGATGCAGCTCGACATGAAGAATGCCTTCCTGCAGAGCAAGCTCGACCGGGTGCTCTACATGTCCCAGCCGGACTACTTCAACGACGGAACCGGCCGGGTGTGCAAGCTACTGAAGAGCCTGTACGGGCTGAAGCAGTCGCCGCTGCTGTGGTACTTGGCGCTCAACGACGTGCTGGTCGGCGCGGGGTGGAAGAAGAGCCAGGTCGATGAGGCTCTGTACTTCAAGGTCGGCGACGACGGAGTGGCCTGCTGGGTGCTGGTCTACGTCGACGACCTGCTCGCCGCCAGCAGCAGCACCGAGATGCTGAAGGAGCTGAAGGGGCTGCTGGAGTCCGTCTTCGAGCAGCGTGAGATCTCGCCGGTGCAGAAGTACCTCGGGCTGGAGATCGTCCGCGACAGGCCGGCGGGGAAGCTGTGGCTGCACCAGCAGGGCTACGCCGACAAGCTGCGTAGGCGCTTCATCGACGAGGAGCAGACCGGGCGCACCCCGAAGACGCCGGTCTCGGTCGACGCCTACGCCGAGCTCACCTTCGACGACGAGGAGGCACAGGAGCGACAGGAGGAGGAGTACCGGCAGAAGGTCGACTCATTGCAGTTCGCGGCGACGACGACGAGGCCGGACATCGCCTTTGCCTGCAGCAAGCTGGGAAGCGGCCTCACGGTGAGGATCACCAGCACTGGCGCGAGGTCGACCGTTGTCTCGCCTACCTCGCCAACACGCGTGACACCGCCCTGGAGTTTGGCGGTGGACCTGAGCCGCTGGAGCTGGTCGGCTACGTGGACGCCGACGACGCCGGTGACAAGCAGAGCCGGACGAGCACAGGCGGCTATGTGTTCGTCTACGGAGGGGCCGCAGTCTCCTGGTCGAGCCAGCGCATCAAGTGCGCGACGCTGTCGTCGACCGAGTCGGAGTACGTGGCGGCCACGGAAGCCGGCAAGGAGGGACGTCGTCTTCGCTTCCTTCTCGCAGAGTTCCGGCAGCTGGATGCCGGGAAGCCGACTGTCCTTCGGGTGGACAACAAGTCGGCCATCACAGTCGCCGAGGGCATGGGGTTGACGGGCAACCTCAAGCACATGGAGCGGCGACAGGCCTGGCTGCAGCACATGGTGAAGCGTGGGAAGTTTTCACTGAAGTACATCCCGACCGCTGACCAGCCGGCCGACTTCCTGACGAAGGCGCTGCACTATCCGGCCTTCAACCGGTGCTCCGTTGTCATTGGCCAGGTGCGCTTGGCCGACGTGGGCGACGGGGACAACGACGTGCAACAGTAGGTGCCATGCCCTCCTGCATGGCTGGTGCGATGACCGACGTGCTGTGTGTTGGGTGCACGCCGACGAGCTATTCTCCGAGCAGTGATGCCGTCTGGGCTGGGGGCCCAAGCGTGAACGCGGCAGGGGAGTGTCAACGGGAGTTGTTGTTGGCCCCGTCCTCGCTTGGGCGGAGCCGACTTCGTGGTTGGGTGTACGGGAGGTGCAGCCGACTTGCAGCAGTGGGCGACGTCGACTTGAGCGAGCTGGTCGACGGGTTTGGTCGACTTGCACTGGGCCACTGCAATGCCGCCGACTTGGGAAGCCGGCGGCTGACTTCAACTGGTGGTCGGCGATGTGGCGCGTCGACCTGGAAGTCGGCGCCGACTTGCAAGGTCGCCGACTTGCAAGGTCGCCGACTTGCGAGGTCGCCGACTTGCGAGGTCGCCGACTTGCGAGGTCGTCGACTTGGGAGGTCGCCGACTTCAAGAGGTCTGCCTGGAAGTCGGCGACGACGTAGAAGGGGCGTCGACTTGGTGACGCCGACTTCGGGTAGCCGACTTGGGTGGTCGGCTGACAATTGTGCTGGTCGACGTAGAGCTGGCCGACCAAGGGTGTGGTCGACCTGGTGAGGTCGACTCGAGGTGGTCGTCGACTTGGGAGGTCGACGGACACATACAGGAGCAGCTGGTCGACGTGGTTGCTCGGTCGACCAGGTTACCAGGGTGACGAGGTTCTGCGGAGGAGTGCGACGGTCGCCCAGGCGATGTTGGCGAGACCGACCTCGGTGGTGGTATCCCGAGGTCGACGTGGTGGATCAGGTGCAGTCGTCAGCACGAGGACAACTTGATGTGTGCGCTGTGCAGGTGACGAGGCACAGCATGCCAATCATCTGCGAGCACCTGCGAAGCTGGTGCGATGCTGTACTGCGGGAGCAACGCTGGCACGCCGTCGACCTGCAGCGTTGGCACGCCGTCGACTTTGCACTGCTGGAGCGGGGTCGACCAAGTCGTGCTGGAACGCGGTCGACCATGCTGTGCTGGCAGTCGACCGACCTGAATGCTAGCTCTGATGTAGTCTTGTCTTGCCAACTTTATTGTACCATTGTTGTCAACTTTCTCTAGTGAAACTCTTGCCAAATTGCCCCGTGAACTAGCAAGCAGTGTGTGCACTAGGGAAACGACTAAGGAACAACGAACGCAGAGATCACACGAGCATCCGTGCCTAGCCCGTAGTCTAGCTCCCGTTGTAATAGTTATCTCCGCAGTTGTTGCCGGCAACACAACCATCCCGTTGAACGCAAGTTCAAGTCCCTATGCAGCCCGCTCAAGGTCATTACCACTCCTCTCATGCTTAGAACGAGGCCTAAATAAGTTGCTTCGTATTGTCGAATGGAGAATAGACAAAGTGGTTCATACAGATAACAGGGATCAGCAAGAACACACAAGCAGTATCAATCAAACAGAGCTTACTAGGTAACTAGTCACGGCTGGGGTATCCAGAGATTGTTGCCATGATACTTACAAGTGCTGCAACTTGAGTAAAGCCCCTAGAGAGGGCGGAATGGTTCCACTCAAGTTATTCGAATCTACATCCCTGACAGACGATGAAATACAACAGCCCGGGATGAAGGAGAAGGAGAATGAAGAGAGAGGGAGGGCCATGCGTTCCAAATGCTGGCCGATCGTTGCAATGGAGTATATTTCAACTTCAAAAATGAAAAGGAAGTAATCAGTGGTTCTTCTGGTTACATAAACTGTGACACGGAGTGTTGTGGCCGGCAACACAACCATCCCTCTGAACGCAAGTTGAAGTCTTTAAGCAGCCCGCTCAAGGTCCTTACCATTCCCCTCATTCTTAGCATGAGGCCTAAACAAGTTGCTTCGTATCGAGGACGAGGCATAGACGATAGACAAGGCGGTTCATACAGATAAACGAGCTCAGCAAGTGAGGAGATGATGTTGGGAATGGAGCCCGTCAAAGCGTTGTACGAGAGAAGCCTGTGTGTGTGGGTAGGTAGGTCGATAGAACTGAAAATATGAGTTTTGTGGGCATGGCCAGAGGGACAGCAAGCACACACAAGCGATATTGGTGAAACAGAGCTGATTAGGTAGTTCAACACACAAGGTTCTTTCAATGTTGTCAAACACAAAGGCCATCACGGCTGGGTTATCTTGAGATTGTTGCCATGATACTTTCAAGCTCTGCAACTTGAGTAAGGCCCCTAGGATGGCAAAATGGTTCCATTCAAGTGATTCCCATCTAGATGCCTGACAGACGATGAAGAACAACAGCCCGGGATGAAGGAGAAGGAGAATGAAGAGGGAGGGAGGGCCATGCGCTTCAAATGCTGGCCAATCATTGCAATGGAGTTTATTTCAATCCTGGAAATGAACGGAAGAAATTAATGGTCCTTTTGGTTACGGAAACAACTCTGGCATGGGTTGTTGTGGCCAGCAATACAACCATCCCTTTGAATGCAAGTTGAAGTCCCTATGCAGCCCGCTCAATGTCCTTACCAATCTTCTCATGCGTAAAACCAGGCCTAAACAAGTTGCTTCGTATTGAGGCATAGACAATAGACAATATGCTTCGTACAGATAACTGAGATAAGAAAGCGAGGAGATGCTGTTGGGAATGGAACCCGTCAAACTGTTGTTCGAGAGATATCTGTGTGTGAATAGGTAGGTCGGTAGAAGTGAAGAGATGAGACTTGTGGGCATGGCCAGAGGGACGCACACAGAATCGTTATTAATGAGACGGAGCTGATTAGGTAGTTGGTAGTTCAACTAGCCATACGGTTCTTTCAATGTTTTCAACCGCGAAGCCAATCATGGCTGGGATATTCAGAGATTCTTGTCATGATACTTACAGATCCTACAAGAACAATAAGGCCCCTACAGATTCAAGGGATTCCCATCTAGATGACTGACAGACGATGAAGAACAACAGCCCGGGATGAAGGAGAAGAAGAATGAAGGAGGGAGGGGCATGCGTGCCGATCATTGCAATGGAGCTTATTTCAATCCTGGAAATGAACAGAAGCAATACTGGTCCTTTTGGTTACAGAAACAACTGTGGCATGGGTTGTTGTGGCCGACAATACAACCATCTCTTTGAACGCAAGTTGAAGTCCCTATGCAGCCCGCTCAAGGTCCTTACCAATCTTCTCATACGTAGAACGAGGCCTAAACAAGTTGCTCCACATCGAGGCATTGACGATTGACAATGTGCTTCGTACAGATAACTGAGAGATGTAAGCAAGGAAATGGTGTTGGGAATGGAGCCCGTCAAAGCGTTGCTCGACAAATTCCTGTGTGGGTATGCATAAGGGCTGCATAAGGACTTCAACTTGCGTCCAAAAGGATGGTTGTGTTGCCGATCACAACACTGCATATGGCATTTGTAACAAAAATGCCCAGTATTGCTTCTGTTCATTTTCAGGGTTGAAATATACTCCATTGCAATGATCGGCCAGCATTTGGAACGCATGGCCCTCCCTCCCTCTTCATTCTCCTTCTCCTTCATCCCGGGCTGTTGTTCTTCATCGTCTGTCAGGTATCTGAATGGGAATCACTTGAATGGAACCATTCCGCCCTCTCTAGGGGCCTTACTGTACTTGGAGGACCTGTAAGTATCATGGCAAGAATCTCTGAATATCCCAGCCATGATTGGCTTCGTGGTTGAAAACATTGAATGAACCGTATGGCTAGTTGAACTACCAACTACCTAATCAACTCCGTCTCATTAATAACGATTTTGTGTGCTTGCCTCTTATGCTTAGCACGAGGCCTAAACAAGTTGATTTGTATTGAGGCATAGACAATAGACAAGGAGTTTCGTACAGATAAGTGAGAGATGTAAGCGAGGAGATGCTGTTGGGAATGGAGCCCGTCAAAGCATTGTTCGAGAGAAACCTGTGTGTATGGGTAGGTAGGTCGATAGAAGTAAAATGTTGTGAATTGTGGGCATGGCCAGAGGGACAGCAAGCACACACAAGCGATATTGATGAGACATAGCTGATTAGGTAGTTCAACTAGCCATACGGTTCTATCAATGTTGTCAACCCCAAAGCAAATCACGGATCGGATATCATGAGATTGTTGCCATGATACTTACAGGTACTGCAACTTGAGTAAGGCCCCTAGCGAGGGCGGAATGGTTCCACTCAAGTTATTCGAATCTACATCCCTGACAGACGATGAAGAACAACAGCCCGGGATGAAGGAGAAGGAGAATGAAGAGGGAGGTAGGCCCATGCGTTCCAAATGCTGGCCAATCGTTGCAATGGAGTATATTTCAACTTCAAAAAATGAAAAGTAATTTGTGGTCCTTCTGGTTACATAAACTGTGATATGGAGTGTTGTGCAACACAACAATCCCTCTGAACGCAAGTTGAAGTCTTTAAGCAGCCTGCTCAAGGTCCTTATCACTCCTCTCATGCTTAGCATTATGTCTACACAAGTTGCTTCGTATTGAGGCATAGACAATAGACAAGGTGCTTCGTACAGATAACAGAGATGAGTAAGCGAGGTGATGCCGTAGGGAATGGAGCCCTTCAAAGCGTTGTTTGAGAGACTTCTGTGTGTGTGGGTAGAGTAGGTTGGTAGAATTGAAGAGATCAGACTTGAAGGGAATGGCCAGCGAGACAGAAAGCACACACAAGCGATATTGATGAAACAGATCTCATTGGGTAGTGCGACTAGCCATACGTTTCTTTCAATATTGTCAACCTCAAAGCCACTGATGGCTGGGATATCCAGAGATTGTTACCGAAATACTTTCATGCACTGCAAGCTGAGCAAGGCCCCTAGTGAGGGCGGAATGGTTCCATTCAAGTGATTCCCATCTACATGTGTAATTGACGATGAAAAACAATAGCTCGGAATGAAGGAGAAGGAGAATGAGGAAGGAGGGAGGGTCATGGATTCGAAATGATGGTCAATCATTGCAATGGACTTTATTTCAATCCTGAAAATGAACAGACGCAATCAATGATCCTTTTGGTTACAGAAACAAATATAACATGGGGTGTTGTGTCCTGCAACACAACCATCCCTTTGAATGCAAGTTGAAGTCCCTAACCAGCCCCGTCAAGGTCCTCATCACTCCTTTCATGCTTAGCATGAGGCCTAAACAAGTTGCTTTGTATTGAGGCATTGACAATAGACAAGGTGCTTCGTACAGATAACAAATATTAATAAGCGAGGAGATCCCTGTATGTGTGGGTAGGTAGGTCAGTGGAAGTGAAAAGATGAGACTTGTGGGCATGGCAGATGGAGAGGAAGCACACACAGGCGAAACAAGGGGGTGATGAGACGAGGATGGTTTGGAAAGCATTTTGTGGGCCCTATAGAAGGAGGAGCAGAGATTAAGAAACATATGCTCAGATTTGCCAAGTAACTGTGAGGGAGATGTGGGGGCAAAAAGGGTAGAGAAGAGGAGGGAACGGGGGAGGACATGGGCGAGAAGATGTGGGTGGTGAAAATGTTGGGGAGGACAAGGGAGATGAAAAGGGTGTCATTTTGCCTCAAACATATTGCCCAAATTATTGGAAAAACGTTTAGACGAAACAGACAATTCTAGACAGCAGCATTTAATGCAAGCAATACGAATCCTTATACAAGCTGTTGCGCTACCAGTTGAAGCATATTACCAGGTTCCATATAACTGGAAAGAGTCCACACAAGCATGCTTGCGAAGCGGGCAGGAAAGGCTTTAGAGACACAATGAACCTGAACATGGTATACACGTTGATCTTGGCTGTTGACATTGTAAATATACGTGATGCAAGAACCATGGCACGATCATTCAGTGTGCGCTTCTTTCTTACAGAGTAGCTAGGTTAGTGAGAAGATTGAGGGTGTCTGGAATGGAGCCGCTCAATGCATTTTCTTGAAGATTACTGCGTGGGGAGAGTGGGGGATGCCCGGAGGGACAGAAAGAATACACAAGTGACCAGGGGGGTGATGAGGCGAGCATGGTGGAAGGCAATGTCGAGGCTAGACATGGGCATTTGGCCTGACTCGTCTAGGGCGACCCGTGACAGCCACGGGTCGGGTCGGGTTGGGTCGGCGGGTCAAGATTGACCCTAATTTGGGGACCCGACCCGCCCAAGGTGTACAGGTATCTGTGACCCGTCCCCGGGTTGTATATAGGGCGGGTCGGGTCGGGTCGGGTAAAAGCGCTGGTGGCGTAGGCACTGCTGATGGTGGCGATCGCGCTGCTGCGAGTTCGCGCTCGCGCAGCTGCGCCCCTGGGCGCTCGACGCTGCGAAGTGGCGCGCGCACCTATGCCTAATGGGGTGCGCACGTTAGCGGCTATGCGCGCGATTTGGTGAGCAGTGGCGAGCCCGAAAGCGGGTACATGTCGCTGACATTTCTTACACTATCGCGCTCAGATCTGCAGCGTCATTGGCAGTGGCGAGTGCAGTATTGATGCCTTACTATTTGTGGTGGCGTTATGAGATCTATATTTGAGAGGAAGCAAGAGTAGTAACCCTAAAGTGAATGAATGAGATTAAAGGGAAGGTAGGTAGGTAAGCGTTCAACTAGATCTAGAGCCTGGAAGTGGATTCAGAGCAACAAAAAACAACATCCAAACTGATGTTCCCTGGAGTACCCTATTCATTGCCCGGGACGGGTCGGGTATACCTGACCCTTGACACAGGACGGGTCCCGGACGGGTCGGGTCAACCCGACCCGACAGGTCGCTGATACCCGTGAAATAATGACACTGACGGGTCATGGGTCGACCTGACCCGTCCGGGTAGGCCCGACCCGACCCGACCCGGGCGGGTCGACATTCTCACCATACCTGACCCGACCCGGCCAAAAAGGCGGGTCGGGTCGAGTAACCCGACCCGTCGGGCCAAATGCCCATGTCTAGTCGAGGCACAGAGGAGAAGATGTTGCGGTGGGAGAATTGCTTCACCAAGTAAGCAGTGCATACGTGGACAACATCACGCACATTCGTTCCCACCCAAATCGGACCTTTTCTTCACAAATTGTGGGTCCTCAGCAACAGCCAAATTGAAGAAACTCACAGCACGGACAACTTAAGGAGATCTCCAATTTCAGCTGGAATAGTCCCAGAGAGCTGGTTGCCCCACAGATCTCTGCCAGGGGTGAAGAATGAACATGGCAAATGCTGTTAGTCGCCTGCAGAAACGCAGTGAAAGAAATGAAATAGAAACGAGTGATAGCTAGTCCAACCTACCAGGGAAATCAGAATTGGGACGAACAAAAAGATGGACATTGTGTAGCGGGTGGAAGGTGGAAAGAGACACAACGATGATGGGCCAGCATGATATCAGTGATGATTATAACGCACGATCATGGCACACGACCGGGGTCAAGACCACATGATACACTTCTTACAGCCATATGATTTATGGGGTGAACAAAGTCAAGCAGTATGAACAAGGTCGTTCCAGTGAACGAGGCCTCACGCTCTCCGCACATATGCAACACCCTTCTCTTCCTGCAAGGCCACCATATTCAAGTGAATCATGTGCTTGCAGCATCAGCCCTATCTCAACTTACAGGTACTCCAATGAAGTAAGGTTTCCAATCCCAGCTGGAATAGAACCATTGATCCCACAGGTTCCCATGTCTCTGGTTTTCCAAGGGTGGGATGTGGATGTTGCACGCGTTTGTATAAAATGGCAAACACAGGGATGTAAAAACGTCGTATCAAACGGAAGATGACGCGTGGAGTGAATTGCTTGCTAACGAGTACAAACGCATGCTTCCAGCTTGTAAGGCTGAGAGAGGCGAAACAAGGAGCAAGACAAAAGGAAGAGGAAGGAGGACGTGAGCAACGATAGAGGCCCATTGCCAACATCACATCGCCACTGCCTTTGTTGCATTCATCAATAACAAACGTTCCAAATATGTCCAGTACCAAGCAGTTGCCAAGACGTTAAAGAAGAATGAATGAATGTGCACGAAAAAAATGCAAGCTCATCGGTTCGCCTGAGATTCTTACAGAGTTACAAGAGAAGTGAGTGATGAGATGCTATCAGGAATAGATCCACTGAGAGACCATGAGTTCAAAATTCTACGCGGGCAGGTGGGTGAATAGAAAGTCAAGACGTTAAGAGAATTAGACGGGGATACAAGCGATGTGAGGATTGGAAACAAATGGTACCAAATATTATCAAAGCAATCCTGCTGGAGATTAATGGCATGGTAGGAGGTCCATTTTATCATGCCTTAGATAATAGCATGATAAAGAGAAGCATGCACACACTCACATCTCGGTAATCATGCCAGTTTTGTCACAGGAGAGTCCTTCAGCAGTGCCACAGGCAGCACCAGCAACCCAGCCTACGAACGTCTGACTCCATGCCTTTTGACAATCTCTGAGAAAAACCGCTGAAAGTTGAAGACAGGACAGCCAAGGAGAGAGACAAAAGAGAGGCACAAAGGTAATCATGAGTATGTACTATATGCCTGCTTTGTTACTAATGTACAAATATCACTTGCACCAAGAAACGCTCTGATGATGTGGGTGTGAGGCACAGATTTAGCAGCTGTGGGGATGGAAGAGCGAGCAAGGACAGAACTTGAATGCATTACAGCAGTGCAAACCACATGCCGGTTGCTAGTAGCATTCTCATCTGCTCGTTTGAACTACGTGCTACGGGGAGGGGAGGAACTTGAGTGGCATCATTAGTTAGTCTGTTAGTAATAGTATGGCAAGAGAATTGTGAGACGAACTGAGGGAGCAAGGAGGTGCTACCTTGAGAAGCTTTGATCGGTTGTGCATCGCACAGCGGGAAGACGAACGGAGCAACCATCCAAAGCACGGCGGCGAGCGCAAGCCATGCTCGTGGCTGCATCAGAGTTGGGTTTGGCGGCGGCATTTGCGGTGTCTAAGTGCCTCCAAAGAGAATATCTCAGGTATGTGTTGCGCTGCCACGAATACAAGTACTATTGATGGAGCGCTAAGAAAGTCTAGTAGGAGAGGGAAAACAAGTCAAATGCGGAGTGGGGTGAGAAAGCCTACTGGTGGGAAAGGAGTTGCATGGGGACAAAAACAACAAAATGCGTTGCCACTGGCACCAAAATGTTTCTGACCCAAACCTGACCCGGAAACTGGATTGACCCCAGCCTGGCCCAACAACAAAATGCAATGGTTGCCAGTGGCACTGCCGGGGAAGATGATGCATGGGAATGGGAAGAGCAGGAAGAGAAGGAAGAGCAGGAAGGAAGAGCAGGGGGGGGCTTTCGCTGCACGCGCAAACTCAAATTCGGGTCCTTCAAAGTTCGACAACACTGCAGCTGATCGAGACTACGATTATGTGGCGCTCAGCCTGAGCGCGTGCAAGCATGACAAACAGTATCAGTAGTCCTAGGAACAACCGTGCGAACCTGCCTCAGCATGCAAGCTCCGGAATTCCTGCAGCAGGCTCTGCTTCGGAAACAAGCCTCGACATGCGGCGTTGAGGCCACCTGGACAAAGAGGTACAGTATCTGGATCCGGTGCATCCTCGTATGCGTGGACAAAGTTGGTGGGTAGAGGGCAATAATTCGTATGCATCCGGTGCCTTCCTCGTAAAAATACGTAAATATCCGGATCCATGGTACGTCTACCCCTTTCTACTAAAGTAGTCCGATTCGCCCAAGGATGACCCTGATCGAGGGCGTGTCCAGCGCGTTCATCCCTGCTCGTTCTGTGCGGGTAATCTTGCCGCTGCGTCACGGTCAAACGGTGAAGCTCGACCACCAATTTGCTCCGTATGGAAACGTCTTGCGCCAGAACGGAGCGGTAAAACTGACGCGCTGGACCTCCCCTGAGGGTCAGTGGAAACCCTAAAAAATCACTGGCCCATCGATCACATCTTAGGGGCCCTACTCTAGAATTGGCGAGTATGGACACGAAAGACACGAGCACACCCTTCTCCTTTCAGGTACATAAGCCATGGATTCCAACACGGGGGTTTTCTACAATCACTCTGAAACATCCAGATCGGGAAAAAAATCCTGAATACTAGGTCTGATTCCCTTGATTCGCAGCCCCTCAAAACTCCGGACAGCCGGTGAAACAATCCGGAATTTTTTATAAAATCCGGATTTCACCCTGCTACTATCGTGAGCTCGTGCGGAGTCAGCATCGTGGATTCAGCATGATTGCTTGTTACACACTATGGCAGGATGGGCAAGTCAGCAGGTACATAAAAGGCCAGTCAGCTAAGGGAGTCTCTCTCCCTTGCTGACTAGACCAGACTTGGCAAGTCAACAAAAGTCTGTCCGGAAATTTCAGGTCCTAGTTTACAGTAGTTGGGTAGCAATGAGTCTTAGGGCGCGTAACTTTTTCCATTTTCGTCAAATGTTCTGACGGTGCCTCCAAACTGGCCGGACGGAGCTCCGTCCGGACGTTTGGGAAGCAGGTCCGGACGATAGGGCGTCCGGACCACAATTGTGCAACTTTTTCCCCTAACGAAAATGTAGAATCTCGCCACGAATAATAACACGCATTACAGAAATCGTATAGCACTTGGAGATTTCGCCACCAGAATCCTATTGGTTGGAAAATCATTCAATTCGTGGCCGAATCACAGCGCAGATAAAACGGACCGTCCGAAATGCCGTTCGGACGGAGTCAGCAGGTTAGTCCGGACCACTTTTTGGCAGAAAAGTGTCAGATTGTGTCCGGACGGTAGCGACGTCGCAGGGGGTCTTGCGAACATCTAAACGGACTGTTACGAAATTAGTTACCCTACAGAAGTCCGGACGGGGCCTCCGTCCGGACGATGAAAGGTGAAAAAGTTACGCGCCCTTAGGGCGTGTAAAATTGTTACGACCAAACGCTATGGTCGATTATTTGGGCGTTTCTGGCGATTGCGAGGAATTAGGGTTACGCTGATGCGAGTAGTCACCCTGGTCTGACTCATTTTCAGTGGTAATTTTGGAACAGAGGTTTTCGCACCGCTATTTGGGACATGATTTAACTGATGCTCAGCGGGGGTATATGTTTTTTCCGTTTACCTAAACACGCTTCTTTGGTAAACACTCTAGTCTAGGCTTCAGATCCCCCGTATTCCACACCCCTTTCGAATGTAGTAAGGGAATCGAAACATTTCCTTTTTATTTAAGAGGGTGGTTTGGGGTGGGTGCTCCAAATGCTGACGAATTTATTGGCAGGGTTCGCTTAAGTGTTACATATTTCGCACCCGCCAGAAACGCCCAAATAATCGACCATAGCGTTTGGTCGTAACAATTTACACGCCCTTATGATAACATGCAGAGTCACTTCGCCACTCTACATTTATACTCTTGCGTCTATCATATGGCAATGTGTTACGGGTGCAATGGAACGAGGTAGCGAGGATTGCACTAAAGTGTCAAACGAGTACAAAGTATGAGCGAAGGCATGAGCGAATACTTATAAGTGAAAATGCAATCGGTAACGCGGTGCATGCGAGCTAGCTAGTCTGATGCTGGCATCGAGGTTCGGGCTAGACCCGAGGCGTAGGCCGACTCGGCCAGGCCAGCGATGCATGGTTTGGCAAATGCAGCGCGCGAAGGTTAGCGAAACCCCGTTAGCAGTAACGGGCGAACAACGGTTGGGTCCTGTACGCGATGTTGAAGCACGCGGTAAGGAATGTCGAAAATTTCCTTTGGGCGTATCCCAGCCAAGTGTCAAGATGCTAGTGTCATGACACTAACTCATTCTGCGCACGCGATTGGTAAAAAAACGACGCTCGGCCAATCGCATGGGTTCCCGCGTTTTTTCTTGACACCAACTCATTCTTGACACTAGCCTGGGATACGCCCTTACACTACCCTTCCCCCCACCCCCCCCCCCCTCCTCAAGAAGCCCCTCCGCTACGCGAGTGCGTGTATATCGCGGAAACTCCGGCTTCGCAGGTACATTTGCAGGGCAAGGTGGTTTTCAATGTTGGCCAGGGGCATCCAGCTGTCCTCCATGGGGGTGCGGTCCTTCCATCGAACGAGGAACTCAATCCTCCGAATTCCCGTATGGTGGCGAATCCGATGGCTCCAATTTTTTTCAGGGTCGACGATCGGCTCCGATGCAGGACGCGTCATCAATGGCGGGCGATGGCGTGGCAGTTGGCTTGTAGTGGCGATGTATGGGCGAAGTAAGCGGACGTGGAACGGCGGGCTGATGTATCAGTCTGTTGGTAGCAGGAGATGGGCGGTAACTGGGGTGATCATGTGGCTGATTTGGAATGGTCCACAGTAGCGCAAGTTTCGGTACGACGGGCGTGCGTAAGTTCTGCGTGTCGAGCAGTACGTAGTCTCCTGGCTGGTACGTCACTGGGCGGCGGTGGCGGTCGGCGTTCCTTTTAGCGATGGCATTTTGCTTTTTTTTAATGCGTCTGCTGCGCGAGTTCGGGCAGCTTGCCGAATCTCGGCGAACTGTTGTGCGCGTGGCGTTGGGTTGTGCGGACTCGGCGTCATGGGCACTGTAGGGTTTTGCCCGTAGTTCAGGTAAAACGGTGAGTGATGCGTCGTCGCTGACGTGGCATTGTTGTAGGCGAACTCGATCAGCGGCAACTGTTGCTCCCAAGTTGTCGGGTCGTCGCACGTGGCACGAATCAGCTGCTCCTTGGTCTGGTTCGTCCGCTTCGTCTGACCGTCGGTCTCGAGGTGGTACGACGAACTGAACTGTAGCCGGGTCCCGAACTGCTTCGAAAAGGTTCCTCCATAAGTTGCTTGTAAACTTCGTGTCGCGGTCGCTGATAATCGCAGCTGGTGTCCTGTGCAGTCGAACGACGGTCGCGATGAACAGGCGAGCAGTTTCTTCGGCTGAGATCGATTTCCTGCACGCAGCGAAGTGGGCCATTTTCGTCAGTCGGTCAACGACAACCATAACCGCGTCGTTACCACCAGGGCTCGAAGGTAACCCCGTGACGAAATCCATGGTAACCTGCTACCAGGCGCGCTCGGGCGGTGGAATCGGCTGCAACTGACCCGCCTTTTTCTTGCGCAAGCTTTTTATCACCTGACACGTTGGGGCACGATCCCACGTGGTGCTGTACGTCGGTCAACAGCTCCGGCAAGTAGTAGTACCGCTGCAATTGCTATCGCGTTTGTTCTACCCCGAAATGACCCGATGTAACCCCGTCGTGTGCCTCCTGCAGTAGCAGTTCCCATAGCACATATGCTGGTACCCAGATGCGTTTGGTGCCTGTTTTTACGTAATACAGTCCTTTTGCTTCTGTCAGCTGCTGCAAATTCCAAGCGGTGAAAAATGGGTCGGTGCGGTATCCGTGGGTGGATAGGCCTGTTAACAGTGGGTTGGTTTGGGCAAGTAGTATGGCGTGAAGTTGGGCAGTGGGGCGGGTGAGAGCGTCGACGATATTCGATGCGCCTTTCTTGTACGTGACGGTGTAGTGGAAGTTGGA